AAAGAACCATCTCTAGAGGAATGAGATGCCTCTTCAATCCTTGATCTCTGTGATGTAGCTGCCTAAACAGGGGTGCCAGCTGGGATAGTGTTTTGTGTGAAGTACGCACCTACTGTAAATTTATGCTCTCACTGACTTCAACAGGGTCAGGATTTTATCCGAGTTCCCTAGAAAATGGGTTGAGACAGGCCATCAACTCATTTCCTAAGCCAGCAGCATGTACAGATAAGCAGCGAGTTGTCTTTCATTTACTACTGACTTAAGTAAGGGTTCAAGAAATGAAAGGCTCCGTATCTCATTATCAATCCATGTTTTCCAGTACCCTGGGGAAGACATATTTCATTGCTATCTACAAGGCTCTACATTTAAAAGAAACAGGGTCAAAATATTATTATTGTTTGCAATTCACTGCTTATAAATCAACTTCCCCTCTTACTCCTGGCTCGTAAAGAGAAGCTTAAACCTAAAAACTGATTCCTCTCTCTCTCGTCAGTTGTCATTATAGGGTTTCTGGTATTGTTTTTCAGACATTTATTAAAGATGCAGCAATAAGGATTTTGTTTAAAAAAATCTCTCCACCCACACAAAGAATTGAATGTCCTATACAAATAGAAGGCATAAAGAAACGACGATACAGGTCCAAGTTGGGGCCTACCAAACTCAAGACTTTCTTTAACAAAGATTAGCGTCTATTATAAGTTGTTTTAGAGTATGTCGACACTACCAAGTTTTGTCAGCAAAACATATGCCAACACCCAAAAGTCATCAACACAAAAATTGCCAGAGGGTGTTCACATGTGCTCCCTCCGTCGACCAGTGCTGGACCGAGACATACTTGCGCCTTGGGCAGCGGGCACGCGGCGCATGTGCCACCCCGTGCCCGGGTGCACAGTGCATGCACGGCCCTGCCCCATGGCGAGCGGCGCCTGATTGACATGGTAAGGGGCGCAGTGCCCCTAGGCGTGTGGCGCATGCGCGGCCCCGCCCCCGGGCGCCAAACTATGGGGGGTGCCTGATTGAAATGGTAAGGGGAGCCACTCACTCAGGCGCGTGGCGTATGTGCGGCCCTGCTTCCGGGCGTGCGGCGCCCCTTACCACTTCAATCAGGTGCCCCCCATAGGTTGGCGCACCGGGCAGCTGCCCGGCTAGCCCTCCCCTTAATCCGGCCCTGCCGTCAACAGATCATGTCCACACTAAGGGCTGCATCATCAACAGTATGAGCAATGCACTATGGGTGTGTATCCCACAGTGCAGTGTTGTGGAAGGCAGAGCTGATCGCTGCACATGGTGGAATTCCCTCCACCTATTCCCACAGCCTCCTCAGCAACCAGCAGCAGCATCAAGAGGAGTCCTGTGAGTTCTGCAGGGCAGTAGATAGTGGTGAGTGGTGAGGAGGGACTAATGAAGTAAAAAACCTCACAAAAGAGTTAACTGGTTAAACAATTTGTTTAACTGATTAATCTCTGGCTACATTGCCACTGCGCAGCGGTGGCTGCTCCTGCCTGGCACAGCTGCGCCACGGGCACAGCCCTGCCTCTTGCTGGTGAATGCCACTGACATCAGGCACACCCTTCAGCACTAGCACTCCAAAGTGCCCAGAGGCTCTGGCTCCACTGAATGCGGGACTGTTGCACCTCCCGCCCCACAGTGTTTGGGTGCACGTGCCCTTCCAAGCATTGCCTCTGTCAGCAGAGATTAAAACACTGAGCAGAACAATCAGGGCAAGTATTGTAGGACACTGGCGGAAACCAGTTCTTTTGACAAAACAAACAGCAGTGTCTACACTGGCTTTTGGTTGAGAATAAAGGGAGGGGAACAGAAAAAAATCTTCCATGGGGTAGAAGTTTTTTTTGTTGCCCAAAGTGAGTGTTCCCCCCCCCCACACACAAAAGTCACATTGCAGTGTGTACACTCTCACTGTGCTGTTACCAAAAGGCAGTCTTTGGCAACAAAACTTTTTAGTGTCGACAGAGCCTAATATGAGAAGTCTAGGACTTTGCCTGCCATAGTTTATGAAAGGACCAGCACTTAAGAGGCCAACCTCTAAAGCGATAGAGGCCGGTTACTTCAACTAATGAAAATCAGCGTAGTACCACTTACTGTAGAGGAGTGCTGTTGTAAACCAGCTGAGAATCTGTTCCATAATCTGCAACTGAGACTAAGGCATTACAGAAAGATCTGGGCAGGGAAATCCTCATGCTGTTGAAGAAACGGCCCACTGTAGCTTCTACTTAACACAGAGATTTGAGATGCTTTACACATTATTACATACCTAGCTACTCTGAGATCATGCTATGGTTTTAAACCCATACAAACTTCAGATATTTCTTTACAAACAAGAGACTAAAACCCCAATATATTACTCAAGCAAAAGACTGGGCTCAAGCTGATTTGTACTATTAAAAAAGAAGAGACTGTGCAAGCTCATATAAGAAATTTTTTTTAAAAAATACAATAATTTAAAAAGAGGGGTTTTTTTTAACAACCAAAAGACAGCTGAGATGGGTTCTTATCCAAAGCCCACTGAGGGAACTGTATTACTAAGCACAGTGTCAGATTGCAATCCCCTACAAGTACTACCTTTGCTCTTCAATTCCAACAGAATTTGGAGATTGAATGATCTCTGTTTATAAGACCTCAAGTCCTCCCTCTTTCTCTGCAAGCCAGTCTATAAATTTCCTTTTCACTGCCAAGTGGAGATGTTATTCTTCTGATGTGAAGCATTCACAAATATATGTTCCATTCCCAGTTTAAATTTGCATAAAATTTAAGTTAAAACTAGGCCAAAGGTTCGTCTTGGTATAGGAGATATGATGTCTTGTGAGAACCTGTTAGCAGGGGCGGATATAGGGCAGGGCGAACGGGGCGGCCGCCCCGGGCCCTGCGCTTCAAAAAGCCCCGCGCATGCGCCGTGGTGTCACCGCGCATTCGCATGGCGTCACCGCGCATGCGCCGTGGCAAATGGGGGGCCCCGCAGAATTATGCTGCCCGGGGCCCCGCAAAACGGTCATCTGCCCCTGCCTGTTAGCTAACGTTCTATATAACATGTTCTAAAATTCTAGACTAGACAAGTTTATTTAAAGTTTAGACTTTAACACATGACAGTTGAAGCATAAAGAGCTAGAGTATAACAACCACAATCTAACACCACACCTTTTGTTTAAGTCCAAACAAACCCTCTGGTACCCACAGACACAATAGCTTGCCAAAAGAAAAGGAAATCCAAATTACACCTCTGCGCTTTTATTACAGATACAATTACAGCTTTTCCCAGCTGTTCTTCTCACTGGACATCCTCAAAAAGGAAAGACACCCTCCAAAAACTCCATCCTACCTCCCTCATTTATAACAACAGTCCCAAGCATTTTGGCTGCACGTAAATATAAAATAGAGCTGTAGGATACTGTGCAGTATTCTATATAGTCAATTAGCATTCTATATAGTCAATGAGTCAGAAATAGGAAAGCAACAGGCCTCCTCAAAAACGCCTCTCCAAAAAGGCAGCCTCCCACTCTCCCCCTTCCATACTTCCCCAAACATAACGGCGAGAAGGAGAAACAAAGAACTGTTGAGATTAAGTAACAAACTTTACCAAAACGTTCAATCCTCCAAAACAAAGCAGGATTTACTTCAGTTTTAGATCAAAGATAGATAATGCCAATGCTACAGTTTGTTTTATAGCACACTGCCTTTTCCTATTTGCTTTCCTTATAAACTCAGTTTCCTTTCATTGTACTTTACTGCCAGATTATAGTAGCTACCTATCCCAATCTAAATCTTCTTCTGTTTATAAATTTTCTCCATTCAGCTGTGCCATAGTCAACAGATTTACACTACTTGCACTAACACAGTAATTTAAACTGTAATTCCCCCCCCCCCCATTACCCCCCCTGCCATTATGTTATATTATTTTTATGGATTCAGGTTGATATGCAACATTTTGAAATTATCCGGGGCTAGAGCATACATAAGCAATGCATTTTAGAGGCCAAGGTGTCTTGTGGTTGATCTAAGAACTGCACACAGTCCTGTATCTTACACCTATTTTTAATCATTGCAAATCAGCACATACCAGATAAAACCAGTTGCTATACAATGCTGAATATGCTGAAATGAAAGATGGACCAGAAGCACAAAAACTGGATCTGGATCTAAACTTTCACAGTTAAAGGCTTTTTCAGTCTAAGTGGCTGAATTATGATCTAACCACAAATGTCCTTCCAGTCCCAAAGTTTCTTCACATGTTGGAGTGTCTGGATCTAGGAATTTGTGTCTAAAATCAATTATTGTACTTGCTATTAGAGATGGATCTAAATCAAAGTGATGTATTCTGAAACCTCAGAATGCAGGTATAAACTTTTTGCTTTTTAAATTGTATACTACCATAGGAAAGAAGATGAAGAAAACAAAATTAAATAATAAGCTGGCAAAAGAGTTAACATCGTTTTCACTGCCAGAGCATACATGCTGCCACTTGTGACCTCACCTCGTTAGCTGGTCTCCAAAATCCTTTGGCCAACTCCTGCTTCAAATGAGTTCTTTCTAGAATTATTAAATCCTTCAGACTATTTGCCTGATATCCAATGGGAATTTGGTTGCAATGACTGGGCAAAACTGTTTCAGCAGAAGACTCAGGAGACATTTGGTGGAGATCAGTAACTCCTCACCCACCAAATGCAAACAGACACTACAGACACTTTTGTGGGACCACGTATGCTCCAGGTTGAGAGCCACTGTTCCCAGGTCTGATCCTGCAAAACCTTGCTCATGTGAATGGCACTCTAAAATCAACGGTGAGTAAAGTTAATCACAACAGAAAGCGTTTGCGGAATTCGACCCTTTGTACTTAATGGCAAGTAAAGTCCCTATCCATTTCTTAAAATACAATACCAACATCTATATTTATAGATTCTTACAAAAATGATGGCTGTACTAAAGGGTGTTACAAGGAAGAATGGAAATGTAAAGATTAGGAATTATAGGTAGAGTGACAATCTCTGACCTGGATCTGTTGCTGAAGAAGGTTAATTTTGTGTTGCTGCTGCAGGAGCTGCTGCTGTTGTCTTGCAATCTGTCGAGAAATTGCAAATTGTACAGTGGAATTGTTACATAGGAATTTGCCCACTTTCTTGACACCATTCTATTAAGCTAATGACATTGTGGGTCGCAGCAGCTGGGTGTGCTACATTTGTATACCATGATAGAGCCAGTTCACGAAAAAATGAAGATCGACAACAACTTTGTGGGAAAGTGGGACAGATTTATACATGAGCCCCTTCTCCTTAACCAATTTCTAGAAACGTATTCCCACAGGTCTTAACGAATACTACCACTCTGTGGCAACAGAAAAACATTTGGGGGAAGATATCAAATAGGAAGAGGAGAGAGGAGCAAAGGAGAGAGTATTTCTATAGCACCTACCAGTCAAGGATTTCCAAGAGCTTTACAAATATGAAGCCCAGGAGAACGCATTATTGTCTACATTTTATTGATAGAGAAAGACAGGCACTGAGAAATTGGAACTTGGTTTGGGGCAATTCATTTAACCTCTTAATCCAGAAAAACCATGGATAGAACCCAGGAGTCCTCAGTTGGTATAAGTTAGCATCGCTCCAAACATCTTCACTATAAGTGCCAATTAACACCAGCTGAAGATCTGATCCCAAGTCTCCTGATTCAAAGTCCTGTACATTTATCACAAGACCATCTTTCCCCCTCAACGGAGTAAGGGAAGGTGACTGTGGGACTCTGAACAAATCCTATTTACAATTACTGAGACAGTACAAAAAAGTTCTGACTCAAAGACTACATCTACAGTATAGCCACAGGTGTGATTTCTGCAGCATATGTAGGTGTTCCAGGCTAGCTCTAGTCTATCTAGCCCACTAAAGATGCAAATGAAGACACTGCAGTATAAGCTGCACCACCAGCAGCACAAAGAAGCATGTACCAGGGGAGGTCAGATGGGCTTGTACAGTCCACACTGAACTTGTGCAGCCACATCTTCACTTCTAGATTTATCAGACTAGCTAGATAACTGCAAATCAAACCCTTGCTGCAGTATAGACAGACTTGAAGAGCTGACGGGAAAAAGTGCCTAATTTAAAACAGTATCTTTTTTAATTCCATGAGTTTTATTTCAAGTCATCAGAACATCTCCACTTTTACAAATTGCTAACAGAGCCTTGAAAGCATTGTTGGAGTGTTCTTCCCCTGATAGAACTCTCAACTACTTTTCGAGGGGAGAATTCATGAGCTTCTTCCTCAAATAAAGGTCTAATGCCCTTTATTAAACTAATAGCATACAAAACACACCTATCAGGAGGTGACTTGATAGCAGTGATGAAAGTAACTTAACATTTCTTATAGATACCGTCCTATTGCAACTTGGGTCCCTGCCAATCCTTTAAATCAGGGATGGGGAACCTAAGGTGCGGGGGCGACTGCTGGATCTGACTCCTGAGGCTCATTAGGGAGCCCGTACTGGTGCTCCAGCCCTCCGCCACCCCACCACAGGGCTGGGGCATACAAAATCTACTAGGCAGGGCACCCCCAAAGCTCAGGTGTGTGATAGAGATGTTAACTAATTAATTTACTAGTTGAGTAGTTGACCGAATTTCCATTGACTAGTCGATAGGCACTTCCATGTTCCTCCTTTGAAATGTGCAAGAGCCCCACTGGGGGCTCTCATCCATTTCAAAGCTGGAATGCCACATGGAGCCCAGGGCCAGTGACAAGTCCCACTGACTCTGGGCTCCACATGGGCGCTTCCACTTTGAAATGCACTAAAGCCCCAATGGAGGCTCTTTTGCATTTCAAAGTAGAAGAGCCAGCATGGAGCCTGGGGACAGAGGGGGACTCAGAGTCCCGCACTGGCTTGAGGGCTCCATGATGCGATTCCTCTTTGAAATGCACAGAGCTCCCACTGGGGACTCTTGTACATTTCAAAGCTGTCATGCCATGGAGCCCAGGATCAGTTGGGGACTTCCCAGCTGATCCTGGGCTCCATGCAGTGCTGCCGCTTGCAGCGCCATACAGCTGAACCTGGGCTCCATGCGGAACCGCCTCTTTGAAATGCCACCGCAGCGTTTCAAAGGGGCAACACCGCACGGAGGCCGGGATCAGCTGTGTGGTAGTGCCCCTTTGAAACACCGCTGCACTTTCAAAATGGCAGCACTGCACAGAGCCCAGAACTCCAGGCTCTATGTGGCGCTGCCACTTTGAAGTACCTCCCTCTTTGCCTCCTCTTCCTGCCTCTATCTGATAGAAGCAACAAGTAGGAGGGGGGGAGCAACTGGTCAACTATCCTGTCAACTATTGGACACACAACAAGGATTTTGATCGTATAGGTTTGTTTGTTTGTTTGTTTGGGCATTCTTTCTCTACTCTCGTTTTCTCTTTTGGATTATTCAGTGGCATTAAAACAATAGCCACCTCTACAGGTAGGAGTACACCTTCTGTCTTGATGGACGTCTCCCCACAAAGATAATACCAATGATGCCTCTCCATCCATGTCTGTATACCAGCAGCAATGTGAAAGGACTACTACTCCAATGAATTAGTCATTTCTCCTGCTGTCCCTCAATTTACTTTTTCTTCTGTGGGCTTTTTTTGATTCAAGAGATGGGAGTTCCACAGAACAGCTCAGCTGCAATATGTAGCACAAAGGATGAATTTTTAACAGTCCAAGCATCAGGAAATACAAAGACATAGCTCCCACGACAACCATAATTCCTCTTGTGCATAATGCAGTGTTTTCTATTGTATGTTGTCAACTAGTATGCAATATTATATACAGGCAATGTAGTGCAGTTACCATAGTTATGGCAATAATTAATGAATTTCCAAACTTTGGAGAATTTTAAATAAGTCACACAGGTTTTTTTCTTTAATTTTCTGTTTTTTTTAAAAATAAGAAAGAGCTGTAATTGATCACACATTCAAATAAATGCACTGTTTTCCCATGTTTACGGGAAATACATTCAAGAAATAACATATGGAATGTCTAACCCATCAAATAAATACAAATCTGTTTATTTCAATATGCAGAATTCTATAGCTAAACATACATTTCAGACATAGTATATCTGGGTAGCAGCACTCATCGCGCACTTCAGGCATGATTTTAAGCCAGGTATCTTTTTATCTTCAAATTTGTGTACATAAAGCTAGGTAGACACATAAATGGGCCTCTACTTTTGTGAAATTTTTAAACCTAGAAAAAATATTGGAAAAAGGGATGGTTTTGCACGCAAATTCTAACATATGTAGATATGGATAAGTGTGAACACTCATTTGTGCATGTAAAGTGCAGAAGCATTTGTGAAGGCTGAAAATCAGTCTCATAAATGGGGAAGAAAAATATTACAGTGGTTCACTCGTTTATATTTTATGTATTTCTCATTCAGTTCTTTTCAAACTTCATAAATGGCACTTTGTATTGGCACTATGCTAGCTAATGGCCACATTTTGCTTTGTTATACATAACCAACTTCACTGGCTTAAAGACATATTCTTTGGGGCTGATTCTGTGATTTTATTTGAACTCATAAAATAAGTTTTTGAAATGTTTGTCTCCCAAAATATTGGGACAATTATTCTACAAGTAGGAAGTCACCATTTTAAACTCCCCTCCTCAAATCAAAATAATGGTTCTATATACTTTTGCTTGACTTTCCACACCTCAAAAGAAAAAAAAATCTGGGCCAAGAACAATCTTGAGAAATGTCAACCCTCAAAGATAAACTAATGGAAAGGTAAACCTAATGAATAGGAACTTAGAATGAAATTCGCTAAAATGATCACTCACCTGTTCCTGTTGCTGCTTAGCCAGCTCCATTTGCTGGCGTTGTTTCTCAATTTGTGATGCAGCCAGTTTCTTCTGTTCATCATGAGCTGCTAGCAGCTGCTCCCGCAAACTGGTCAGCTGATTGATCATGCCCATGAGCTGCCTTTCCTTCTCAGCTAGGCTTTCTGGAGTCCCTGGGCATCACAGAGTGACAAGAGAGAGAGAAATGAGAGCTGGGTAATTTTAAATGGCAGTCTTAGTATAAACAAAATTTCAGTATATGCAAAATGGCAATTGCATTGCTCTGGAACAACTAGGGATATACATTTCACAGAAAAATGAGATGGGAAGGATGATTAAGGCACCCTTCAATTCCCTGCTCTATCACAATTTTCTTGTGTAGCTGAGGAAGTCACTTATTTATTTTCTCTGTGCCTCAGTTACCTATCCTTAAAACTGGAGTTAATAATATTTCCTTTCCCTGCTCCCTCCGCCCCTGCTTTTTCTTTCATCATGGCGAAACATTTCCGTGAAAAGTTTCAGATTTTCAAAGTTGTTTACATTTCACAGGCTGCACAATCAACTGTTTTGAAAATGTTTCTGTCAAAAGCAGATAATCCACATTTTCTGTTTACAGAAAACCCACTACCTTGTGAGGTAGGTATTACCATCCCCACTGTACAAACGAGCACACTGAAGAACAGAAGTGCTATCCACATTTGATTTTTAATCCTTTTTTCCCTCTATACTATTCCAGCGCAGGCCAGCTGCCAGCATTCTAGCTGCCATGTCACCCCACTCTGCTCTGCTCAGCTCAGGGTTAAATGATCGACTGGTTAAAATGCCAATAGCTGCTATCCTGGTTGCTGCTACCTCAATGAGAATTTTTTGAAGTCTGGTGTAGAGTGGAAATAGCTAAGAGGTTGAGGCACTTGCCATCATTAACCCAATTTGCTTGCTATGTTATTTTACAAACACCAGATTTCTATTATGTACAAGTGCTCTAGAAATATGTTCTGCTCGTGCTTTCCCAGAAACAGGCACCAATTGCCACCATCCAATTTTTCCCCCCACAGCAGGTTTCCTTTTTCCCAGAGGAGGCAGACTGAGAAGGGATCTGGAGAGGATGTAGTAAGAGCCCCACCGATCACAGAGAAATAAAAATGTTCTAATAAAAAATGATGTATAGAACAATGGCACTTTTGCCATTAATTGAAAAGATGATCAATTGCAAAATAAAATATTTTCAGTGGGCAAGCTAACAGCAGCACCCACTAACACAACACAACTCCCATCTCTTATAGAAATCAGGACCCGGGAAGTTCCCACCCCAAAGCTTGAGGAAATGGTTAAGCTTTCTTTTAAATGCCTCTTTTTAAAACAGTCTGCTTTGGGGACAGCCCTGTCACACAAACCCTCCCAAATATGAGAAGTGCTCTGCTGCCAATGTCACCAACGCTCTCCAATTCAACAAAAGAAAAATTGGCGACTGTACGAACCATGCTCATAGCCAACTATCAGTCAGACATGAAAAGAGCTACTGGTAATAGCTCATTTAGTCCTCCCCCCTGCCAGTGCAGGAATGTTCCTGACAGTGTATTTACCAACACTCCCTGGATTGGATTTCAGAGATTGATAGATTCTAAGGTCACCTGACCTCCTGTACATGGCAGGCCACAGAACTTCCCCAGAATAAGTCACAGTGGAAACACATCTTGGTTTAAAATTATGTCAGTGATGGAGAAAACATCATAACCTTTGGCAAATTATTCAAATGGTTAATTATTCTCACTGTTACAAGTTTACATATTACTTCCAGTCTGGATTTGTCTAGCTTCAACTTCTAATCATAGGATTGTGTTATACCTGTCTCTGCTGAATTTAAGAGCCTGTAATTAAATACTTGTTCCCTATGGAGGTACTAACAGACTATTAAGTCAGCCTTTAACTTTCTCTTTGGTAATCAGTTCGAGCTCCTTGAGTTTGTCACTGTAAGACAGGTTTTCTAATCCTTTAATTATTCTCGTGGTTCTTCTCTGAACCCTCTCCTCTTTATCAACATTCTTCTTGAATTGTGGGCACCAGAACGGGACACAGTATTCCCTTCCAAATGGTGGGTCATTTACTGCTTTCTTTGAAAGATGATTCCGCAATCTAAATACTGTACATGTCACCATTAGGAATATTTTTTGTGATATTTAGTTTAATTTAAATTAATTTATTTTCATCCAGTTCTCCCTGCAACACTCCTTCATTCCACTTTTACCGATACCAAACCTTTGAAGTACCTGTAGACAGTTATGTGCATCTGGGAAAATATATAGAGTCAGGCTTTTGGTACAAAGTTAATGTAACTTTATTTAACTTTCTTTAAAACCCCATAAGAAAACAGAGAGGTCTATGGAAAAATATTCTATCAATAGGAGACTATTTGCTAATGCTGTTAAAGGACCCATGGATATGGTGCAAACTTGAGAGATGCAATGAAACTGAAAATATATAACTTTTTAAAAATTCTGTTAAAACTTGAGAGAAAGAATGGAAGCTTATGGTAATGTACTAAGAGTGGAGGAGAAAAACACTTGTAATTTACAATTTTTACTTCAAACATCAAAGACAAAGCACTAGTTTAAGCCATGCATTTGCCATCTGAACATGCAATTATTTATAAGTGTCTATTACAACTCTTCCCTAGCTTTTTTCCCGCAGGATGTTCAGCTTTTCTAAGTAATACAAGTGAAATTATCTTAAAAGACTATGTTTGCCCAGAGATCTTAGCTGCAAAGAAACATTTAACATTTTGTATCACTGAAAAGAATTAATATAATAAATATTGTTTGATTTACATGGAGCTGGTTGAACACTGAAAAAAGTGTTTGCAAATATTTTATTCTAAATATTTACCGAGGGGGTGGCTGGGTGGGTGTATGTGTGGATTTGGCTACTTCTAAGCTAGAGACAGGCAAGAACAAATATTTATCAAATAACTTATTTGAAAAATATAGTGATATTTGTCAGACTCTCAACTAACATGATCTGATCAAGTAATATGAATTTACAGTTTGCCTTTCATTTGAGGCTCTCAACACACTCTGAAACATTAATTAAATCCCAAAACAACTCTTAGAATAGAGAAGTATTTCATGTGTGTAAATTGATAGACATATGGGTTAGTCAGTGGCAAAACAGTAAAGAGAACCCAGGAGTTCTCACTCCCAGTTCTGTATTCTAAATCTGGACTAAGAGACCAAACATCTCTTACTAGTGCCAATGAGATGAGTAACTACCTAATTTCAGACACATCTATACTTTTTTGAACTGTCTTAATCTCATTTAATTAATTCATGAGCAAAAAATCTCTCCCCAAGAGAAATGGACAACTTCATTCAAGTTGTAGAAACACAACTACATTAAATGGGCTCAGAGTTTGGATTTAAACATATTTCATACTGACCATCTAACCATTGTTAAAGAGCAACACATACTGGTCACTACCAATACATAGTCAACAAAAATCAACTTTTCTGTGTACCACATATTCATCTCTATATACTACACATTTTAGGTAATTTAGGTAATTACTTTGACAGTAAACTGACTTGGGGGAGAAGTTTAATAACATTAATAAATAAAAGTTGAATACAGGTTGCTCCTCTCTTAACCGGGACTCTCTGGTCCAGTAGGACCACGGATGTCTCAGGACCAGAGAGTCCCAGTGGAGGGCTGGTGGCTGAGTTCTCTGCAGCGGGGGCTAGAACCTAGTAGCGGGGCTGCCCTGTGGCAGTTTAATGGGAGCCCAGCAGCTGGCCTGCTGCCTGGTGGCGACACTGTGAGGGTTGGGGGGGAGGCAGTGGGGCTGGAGCCCAGCAGTGAAATTGGCGAGACCGCAAGGCAGTGGCGCCGCCCGGCAGCACAGCCAGGGGCCTGGCAGCCCCACTCCAGCAGCTGCCCGGCGGAACTAGAAGACAGCACAGCTGTCCCATGCCACCAGGAGCCTGACCACAGGGCTGCCTAGCAGCAGGGACAGGAACCTGGGAGTGGGGCTATTGCCTGGCGACGTGGCAAAGAGCCTGGCAGCCCCACTACCGCTCATGGAGCTGCTTGGCGAGGCTAGGAGGCAGCAGGGCTGTCTCCCAGTGGCACAGCAGGACCCAAGTAGGGGTCGCTGCCCTACGGGGCCGGAAGCCTGGCAGTGGGGCTGTGCGTGTGGGGCTGCCAAGGCGGGGCCAGGAACCCTGTGTGCGGGGGAAGCCAGCGAGAAGGCTGGTAGCAAGGCCATGTCTGTGGGGGCCAGAAATGACCTTCCCTGGTCCAGCAAAATCCCTCATCTGCGACCAGTCCAGTCCCAAGGATGCCGGACCAAGGAGGTCCAACCTATATATAGATCATAATACTGCCTTTGAAAACTGACCCTCATACTCATTATAATTACTGCTCAAAATTAAAAAACAAACCAAAAAACCCCCAAGTACACTGCTATCTGGTCAAGAATAAGTCCTGATTTACATTGGGGAATTTGTCCTTAAAATTCTAACTGGTTTTAAAATTGATTCTACTACTTCATTTTAAATTTAGCCAGAGTTGTAGTGTAATCCAGGCTCCAGATGGTCTGAAATGCTGCTATTAAACCAATCTCAACACCTACTGAAAGTGGTTATGTAACTGGATGTAACAACTCAAAAACATATTCCCTTCATGTGCATGCCTGTTCTGCTGATCATGCAAAATGCATATGAGCAGAAAAAGTGACACTTTGTCCTATTTTCTACTATCAGCTCCTTAAAATGCAACAGATATTAAGGACTATGGACACTGCTGACACTGGCATTAAATGTGATTTCACTTTTTAAAGATTTTTAAAATTTACCTCAATATGATACGTTACTATATTACTAACTATGCAATGAAAGGCACTGGTGAGGCAGCTGCAAAGCCATGCAAGCCTCCAGAATTTTTACAAAAAGCTCTCAATATTGCTAACATCAGTGAAGCTAGTAGCAATGTTGGGAACCCTAGTGTGGATAGATTGTCAGCCCAAGCAGCAACTTCCAGCAGCTCGCATGTTAAACGTGCTCAGATGATTGAATTAAAAATGGCCCTGACTGTTGGTGACTATGGTAGTCTATACTATTCATTCTTTCTTTACATGATGTTAGCGGTTGAAGTCTACGCCATTGTTTAGTGATTAGAAAAA